TGTATTATATTGTTTTACTGTTTTAGGCTGTTTTATCTGTTTTAACTCTGGCACTTGTGCCTCGTTGTTAGCCGCCCTGAGCCTTTGGGGAGGGCGGGATATAAATACAAAAATAAATAAATAAATAAATAAATACTACATGATCAAAACTAGGGCTGATCAGCAGCAACAGACTACTTCAGTATCCCACTCTAGTGCACTACAGTGAAGAGTTCGCCAAGATCGCAGGCAAGGGGTGTATAAGCCCCTCTCCCTTTTTCTGACCTGCAACCACAGCCTCCCCTCCTGATGGTGTTTTATCACCCTAAAATAGCCCCCAGGAGCCAGGATTTGCCCACCAGAGAACTTTTATGTATACAGGTCATTCTACGTAATTCCCCCCATGGGGCAAACAGTAGCTCCCTGGGGCGATTTCAGGTGGGGAACACAGCTCAGGAAGGGGCAACTTAAGCCACAGGTTATGGTCTGATCCTTACTGATCCAACGTGGGCCTGAGAATGTCATTTCAGTCTGGAATGTCCAGAACATTTATTTATTTATTTATTTATTTGTATTTATACCCCGCCCTCCCTGCGAATGGGCTCATGTCTGGTTTGACAGAATTCAGGACAAACCTGGAAACGGCAGAATATGCAGTTGTGCCCTGAGGGTTGGAGTCTGCCAAAGGAGGTAAAAGGCCTAGGCTTGAAACACAAACGAATAAACTGAAGACAGCCAGTGTGGTGCAGTGTGGAACTTGTGTGGTGCACGTCACACTAGTATCCAGAACCCTCAGGCTCGCATCCCCGCTCATGCCATGGAGGCTCACTGGGTGACCTTGGGCCTGCCACACTCTCTCAGCCTAACCTGTGGAAGCCCATGTGGAAGGGCGGGATATAAGAACATAAGAACATAAGAGACGCCAATGTTGGATCAGGCCAAAGGCCCATCCCATCCAACACTCTGTGTCACACAGTGGCCAGAAATACCAGGTGCCCTCAGGAGGTCCACCAGTGGGGCCAGGACATTAGAAGCAAGGGAGGCCAATGTCATTTGCCATCTGCCCCCTCAACCAAAGGCCTGGCAGAACAGCTCCATTCTACAGGCCCTGCAGAACTGCAGCAAATCCCACAGGGCCCTGATCTCAATTGGGAACATGTTCCACCAGGCCAGGGCTGAGAAGGCCCTGGCCTTCGTTGAGGCAAGGCAGACGTCTTTCAGACAAAGGACCACTAAACAGTGCTGCTCTGAAGAGTGCAAGGCTCTTTGGGGCACATACAGGCAGAGATGCCAGAGACTGAACCTGGGACCTTCTGCAGGCCAAGCCGATGCTCTACCGCTGACCCATGGCTTCTCTCATTTCTAAAAATTCCAAGTCAAAGAAAGGGAGAAACACATAAATTCCACACTGGGAAGTTTCCAAATAAGTACAATGTAGCCTTCAGTATACCAGGAATCTGGTGCTAAGGTCATGCATACTCTGTGCAAAGGTAACCCTTTGCATTTTGTGCTAGGCAAGCTGGGGATGTTGATCTGTATCAGTTATACATATCAGGACCATTTGGATACATTTGCTTTATTTTCAGTAACTTATTCTGCTTTTTCAAGCAAAACACTGAAGCCCTGGTCCATGACCACTGAAAACCCTGCTCAGCCTACCATCTGGGCCCTGAGAAAGGTGGGCAGTAAATGAACTTCATCATCACTGTAATCTTAACAGGTATTGCCCACAGACTTTCAGGCCTATCTTTGCAGCCTATGTACATACAATAAGCGGTGTGCCGTCAAGTCACAACCAAATTATGGTGAGCTCAGCAAGGGCTTTCAAGGCAAGTAAGAAGCAAAGGTAGATTACCACAGCCTTCCTGCACCGAGTCTTCCTTGGTGGCCACAAGAACAGAAGCACATAATAACAGTCCTGCTGGATGAGACCCAGATCTAGCCAAGCATCCTGCCTCACACAGTGGCTAACCAGTTCCTCTAGAGGTCCAACAACAGGGCAAAGAGGCCAAGGTCTCCCATTCAAGTAACTAATTAATTATTGTATGGCATTGTGTGCAGAATAGCCAGAAGTTCCCAAGATTGCCTAGCAGCCGAAAGTTCTCACTTTTAGTGTTATGCTAATGGTAAGCTAGGAGCTGTGGTGGCTCAAGTGGTTAAGACACTGAACTGCAGGCTGTGAAAGGTCAGTAGTTCAGCAGTTCGAGACCCGGGTGGGCCGCATGACGGAGTGAGCTCCCGTCTCTAGTTCCAGCTCCTGCCAACCTAGCAGTTCAAAAGCAAGAAATTGCAAGTAGATAAATAGGTACCACTTCAGTGGGAAGGTAACAGCGTTCCGTGCGCCTTGGTGTTTAGTCATGCCAGCCACATGACCACGGAAACGTCTTCGGACAGCGCTGGCTCTTCGGCTTTGAAACGGAGATGAGCACCGCAACCCTAGAGTCGGACTCGACTGGCTTTCGAGCAAGGGAACCTTTACCTTTAATGGTAAGCTAGACTTGGAGGTTTTTAGTGGCTGAGAGAGCTCTGAAAGATCTGTGACTGGCCGAAGGTCACCCAACTGGCTTCATGTGCTTGAGTGGGAAATTGAACCCGGTTCTCCAGATTAGAGTCCGCCGCTCTTAACCACTACACCAAACTGGCTCCAAGTGCCAACCTTGTTTAGCTTCTGAGAGTTGAGGAGATAATGCTATACCACACCATTCCACACCCCTTTTTAGACTAATTACTTAAAAAACCCCAAACAAATGATAAACAGTAATGTTTTCAGGGTGCCAAGACACTGGGCAGAATTCTAAATCCCACTCAGTCACAAAATACATGCAACCCCGACTATATTGTCTGTTGCATCATGGAGAATCCTGCCCTGGGGGAAAAAGTGCTACCGCGTATGAGACGCAAAAGTCAGGAGTGACTGGCCTCCTCTCCAGTTCATGGTGTGGCCTTAGAATAAAGTTGCTGTCTACTGTGGTGGCGGAAAGCACCATCAAGTCACAGGTGACTTGTTGTTGTGACCCTGTGGGCTTTTCAAAGCAAGAGACCTCCAGTGGTGGTTTGCCATTGCCTGCCTCTGCGTCATGACACTGGTATTCCTTGGAGGTCTCCCCTCCAAATACTAGCCAGGGCTGGCCCTGCTTAGCTTAGCCTGGGCCATCCAGGCCAGGGCACTATTGGCTGCATGACAGACCAAACCCCACCACCTGCAGACTCCCTTTAGATGCTGCTACTTTGGATTTCTTAGCGTCCCTATATAATCATCTGTGATTGTGTCTGAGTTTCTGGCCCGCTCACTTGTTCCCTACAGGGAGCGACAGTTGTTATACAACATGAAATGGGTTCACAAACGAGGCAGGCGTGCCAAGCCAGAAGTCTCCTTATTAGAAAGCACATGTGCGAACCTTGCATCCTGCATAGATAGCGCTGCTACAGTTGTTCTGCGGTATGAAGCAGTAACCACAGCGAGTGCTCTTCAAGAACCCAGGGCGGCTCGCAGTCGACTGGGGAAGGAAGGCCTCCGCCAGCGGCAGGGGTTTGCCGACAGTCTTGTTCTCCACCTACCGAAGTCTCCTCCCCCGGACTCGAGAACTGTGCCGCGGCGGTGCACGGGACTGACAGCGCAATCCCACGACGCTGGTCTCAATGCATTTAGAAGCCAGGATCTCCGCACAGGATCGCGCCGCCTGTCGTGTCAGTGGAGAGCTTCCTAATAAACCGCAGCTTCTCTTTTTAGATCAGTCCCCCAACCAACGGGGATCCGCTGCCGAGGCGAGCCGGCATCCTTCGGCCGCAGAGGAGTGCGGCGTTCGTCCCGTCCCGGAATCCTCCTCCCGCAAGACCGCGGAGCAGCTTTCGGCCGAGAAGGGCAAGCGGAGCTCCGCGAAGCCACGGCTCTCTCCACGCGACCCAGAAGCCCTGCGGTGCGGGGGCTCCCTCTCGGCCGCCCTTTCCACGCTCCCCTGGCGGAGGAAGGGCAGGTGAGAGGCCGGCCTCGGGCAAGAGAGCGACGGCGCCCTCCCCGGCTCCGCAGGCGTGCGGCAAACCCCGCCTGGCTCCACCCAGCCGCCGCCGCCGCGCCAGGAGCTCTTCAAGCGAAAACGTTTCTTCAAGCGAAACGGTCGGGCGAAAGGACCTGGGCGGTGTTCCTCCTAAGATGAGTTAGCGTGCGCTCGCTCACCGTGTTTTAGCCTCCGGCTCACCCATTTTTGCCTTCGCTCAGGAAGGAGGGCTCGGGAGCGCACTAACACATGCAGCAGCCAAATCGCTCGCGCACAACTGTAATGCCCGCAGCTCCCAGCGTAGGATTTTTGCTCACCAGACTCCACAGCTGGGAGGGAGCCGGGGTCCGGGGGTGAGGCCGCCTCCCCACCTGTGGCTCGCTCGACTGCAACGTTGCGCGCAGCCCGAGATTGCAGACTCGGGAAATGTTTCTGCTCTCTGTGGTTCCCCCGGGGGACCCCGGCATCCTTATGCCGCGTCTGTCCCCTATTAGACTGATAGCCGTAATCTATCCCAGAACACAAACATCCCCGAAGCAGCTTTGGGGGCTGAACCCCCCCCCCCCCACACCC